TCAAAATTTTGGTGGTCGAGGAGGAGGTAGATTGATGTTGTGGGTTCTTCTCGGGAGGAGATGGCAGAGTTCGTCCTTGGGGTTGATTCTGTTGATGATGTGGATGAGATGGCTGTTTTTATTAGTGTTGTTGTTGGTGGTGGTGGTGGTGGTGTTGTTGTGGCTGCCTTTTGTGGCGGTGGCGGAGGCAACGGAGTCTGTCGTGATAGCTCTGGTCGAGAATCAGAGGAGGTGGCCGACCCCTCTACTTTATCCCAAGTCGAGCCGGAAGTGGCTCCAGATTTCTTCTTCAGGGGAGCTCTTCTCAGAGGAATGTTAAAACTGGAGCTTCTGCAAGAAGATAACAGGAAATTAGGGTCGATATCAGTGAAACTCACCTTAATTAAAACAGGAGGGAGACCGCTCGAGCAAGCTGGTCGAAGATTACATGGATCATCCTTAATCCGAAAAAGATCAAGGATCTTTTCGGTGGGAGGAGGGCAGGTTTTGTGGGTGAGGAGGCCGTAGTAATGGAGGAGGCTTTCATCCTTAAGGAGCTTTTCCGACTTAACGGGCTTGGAGTTCCAAGAGTGAACCCGTTGGTCGAAAAGAGCGTTAGGAGGAGGACAGGAGGTAGAATTCTCTTGCAAAAGTTCCTTGACCCAGGGGATAGAGGGCCAAGGAAAAGGGGCACTGGGCTCGACAAAGATAAACCTATCAATTTACTTAGGAATGTTGGTATGAATATCGTTGGTGAAATGGACGCCGTTTCGGCTTTTTAAGTAAAGGCCTCGACCTTGTTTGGAAGGGGCGTAGCAGTAATGGAAGAAGGCGAGGCCGAAGCTACCCAGGCGGATATGGCAAAGGATTATGAAGGTGGTCATAAAACGGATGGCATTGGGAGGAAGTTAGTGTAGAAGAAGCCCGAACCACTCACAAATTTAGAGCAGCTCAGGGTTTAATGGGAAGCGAAGTCCAAGCTTAAATTGGATTTTGAAGAAAGTATAGCAGTTGTTTGGGGGATGGTCATATTTATCGGAGGAATAAGGGACATAGAACGCCCAGACACAAGGCTGACCGATTTTCTCGGGATTTAGCCAGATGCTAGAGGAGGAAGTAGAAGATTGACGCTTTGTAGAGGCTTTGGAAGGGTTTTTGGTCGAAGATTTTTTGGGAGGAGAGTTCGATGGACCAGGCTGGGAAGAAAAAGGAGGAAAGGTCGAAGATGTGGGGAAGGTAGGTGGAGAAGAGACGACCTCGTCCTCCTCTGGCTTATCTAAGGAGCCAAAGGCAGGTCGACGGTGGCGGAGGGGAATGTTATCCATGGTATCTCTGGAGTTAAGAGAAGAAACGCGAGCTGTGAAAACGATGGTGGGAACGGTATCGCTGGGGCGAAGGATAGAGAGAGGAACAGCTTCGAGTGCGGAGGGCAATATTTGAACCGAATCAGAGGAGGTGGTCGAAGTAGCAGAATCTGAAAAACAAAAAAGAGAACAATATCAAAAAGGGGAATTTCGACGATAAGGAAAGTAGGAGAGGAGAAGGTTTTCAAAGCTAGGGTTTTTCTGGGAAAAGCTATTCCGAAAAATTGAAAGGGGAAAGAACATGAAGTTCAAAAATTGCGGAGGAAAAGAAAAATTTACAACGATCAACAAACGTACCACAACATTCAGAGCACAGATTCAGGATAAAATGCGCAAATCCAGAAAATTCAACAAGAAAATTCGAGATACCCAATTCAAAAAACTCAAAAAATGCAAAATCTGAGGCATGGAAAATGTAAATTCAGGCGAGGAACAACTTACTCATGATCGCGGATGAAGAAATTGAGAAAGCCCGAAGAGTGCAAGGGGAATCGCCGAGAAGAAGAAGCTAAGGTTTTGCAGAGAAAGCACAGAGTATAAAGAGTTCGAAAATTGTAAAGGTGGAAAACTCAGAAAATTCGCTAAGTGTTGAATTTATACCTTGGAGAGTTAAAAGGTCGAAAAAGGAGAACCGTTGGATTAAAGTCAGATCATACGGTGGAGAGCATTAACTCACACGACATTCAAAGTGGGCGCATTACGCGAGGAGGCGCAATGATTAAAGTATCTGACAGGCGTGACAGAAGAGACATGTGGCAGAAGGGAAGGTACGGCAGAAAGGACGTGTGGCAGGCAACGTTATGGCTGGCAATTAAAGAAGAATTAATTGAAAAATTAGGCGAGAAACTCACTACATGGTCGATATCTGACATCATGTCATCGAGGAAAGCGAGGAGCACAAATACACTCTTAGATCGAGTCATCCAGACTCGACCAGAGTGGGGGGAGACTAGATATAGGATATTATACCCACAAGGCTAAACCGGTCTGTTGGACCGGTCGAAAAGGCCATGCCGTGAAGAAACCAAGCCGAGTGACAGAAAAATCGACCAGATAACCAGTTGACCAGCTAAGCAGCCGACCAATCTATCCTTCGACCAGGTGAACGGTTGAGCAGTTCAGTCGACCTCGATCGGTCGACCACTTCGCGGACTTAACATAGCATAGATCGACCTAGTCACATGCGCGTGAAAGAGCCTCTACCGGAATTTCAAAAGAATATTCATCCCATGTGCAGGAGGACACGTGTCGAGAACTTATTGGTTGATAACGACAACCACCTCTGACAGCTCCCAACGTCCTGCGCCACCTCTGACATGTGCGCGGCGTGTCGGAGTATGGACGGGCAGCTTAGACAGCCAGCTCATCAAATTCGGGCAGCCTTAGGTCACGTACTTCACTCCTATATAAAGGGGGTGAGCCTTTCTTCCTAACACACGATTTTTCCGATACTCAATTCCAGTATACTCATATACATACTGACTTAAGCATCGGAGGCTCTTCACCGGACACAACCCCCGGTGTGAGAGTTATTTGCAGGTTTCTGACGTTCTACCGGCGAGGAAAAGAATCGATCTACCCCAAGCCGGACCAGGACGCTCACACTTTCATTAGTTTCCCTCCAAAAAAAATCTATTTACTATTTCAGGAAATTAATTTAACAATTTATGGTATATTTCAAATAATTACTTATGGAAATTGTGGGTCATTATGTAAGGAAATAATTAAGCCATATAAAAATTTATTTTCAAGATATCTTAATTACTCAAATAAATTTAACAATTTATGGTATATTTCAAATAATCACTTATCGTAAAATCATTTTTAAGATACCTTAATTACTCAAATCTTGTGAATTGGTTTTTTTACCTAAATATGAGAATTTCGGCTGCAGCATCAATTATGTGATTTGGTAAAGAATTTCCAACTAAATTGTATAATTTATTATTTAATAAGTGTTTTATATTTTTCGAGTATTTTTTTCTTTTTTGTGAAATACATTTTTAATATACCTTAATTACATAAATTTTGTAAATTCGAGTGATTTATTCAATAAGAAAGTAATTACTACAGTTATAGAAATATCGACTACAATAATTAATTATGCAGTTTGCAAAAAACTGTTCTAAAAAATTATGTTAACGAAATTTTTTATTTATATATCATTTAATAAATATTATTCACTTTTTGTATTTAATTGCTCAAATCGTGGATTAAATTTCTATTTTTAATATACCCTAATTACGCATATCGTGTAAATTCAATTAATTTATTCAATTATAACTTCTTATAAAATTATTCTAAAAGAATTGTGTTAATGGTAGTTTATGTTTAATTATTTTTTAATAACTATTTTTTAGGTCCTTTTTTATTTTTATATATAATTAACTTGAGTCTTGATTTTGTTTTGTACGATGGGCAATTAATATCGTGATTAAACTAAATATCGATTTTTGAATTTGGTCGACAAAATAGGAAATTGAATTATTTTGTATACTATATATTGATCCAATATACCCGCATATGGTAATAAATGATATTGCAATATATATCTTTTTCATATTGCTAAGCATTTTACTCGACAATAATGAAAGAAATCTAGATAATACTATGTTCAGTTCTTATTTGTAAATGTGTAGAACATATCAAATTATTTGGTGTGTGTGTGCGCGCCTATTGTATATATAAAGGTTTGTGTTTGCGGTAATCACATTGTAGTCAAATCGAATCGAATTTCAAAATAAATTTCTTAAAATGACATCTTTTGAAATGAATATAATGTAACTTATTATCTGTCACTTGTACCATACAGGTCGTGTACTAATTTTAAATAGACATGTTTTATATAATTTTTCACAATTTAAATTTCATATATATAACATTTTCAACAAATTAATATAGGTAAATCGTATTATATATTGATTCCATATTTCTAATTTATAAATACTATTCAATGAGCATTTGTAATTTATAAAAATTAATGAATATTTATTACCCATGCATCGCACGGGATTCGTACTAGTTTGATTTAAGAAAACTTTATAGAAAATAATATCGGACAAAAGATGAGTAATTTTCCTATTTTATTCCCTAAGAACACCAGTTATTTATAAACGGGTGGCATGCTGAGATTAGTTAACTTGATTTTAGAGAAGCCCGATAGCAATCAAGAAACTCTACCATGGTAAAGTACAAATTAATAGTCTGGTTGGGTTAAGACTTTAAATTCTACAAAAGAGTAAAAAGAAGAGAAAAAGGGAAAAGAATTTTTAATTCTGCATGAAAGATTTCTGCTTCTGCATATAGTAGACGCATGAACTTAAAAATAAAAAAAAAAAAAAAAAAAAAAAAAAAAAAAAAAAAAAAAAAAAAAAAAAAAAAAAAAAAAACAAAAAACAAAAAACAAAAAACAAAAAACCCCACATTGCTTATTCGTGATCTGCATCATTCGTGAAAACCTAAATGAACTGCATGAGCTTGACAGATAACCGAACCGGATAAATGATTCGATCTCTAATTTAATTTCAGCATTCAAGCAAGAGTGTCTCCTATTTGGTGGAGAACAAAAGTAGTGTGCCACAAGAAGAAGACGACGATAATTTGAGAAAAATTACAACACAAACAAATAAATTAACAAAAAATACGAGCATATTGATATCACTCGCTCCCCATGGCCATCAAGAATTCACCCTCACAAACAACTTCACCGCCTACGTATGCCTTGCCTTCCATTTTCGCTATGCCAAAGCGCTTTTGAAGCTTGACGAGATTCATTCTCATTACCAAAGTGTCTCCTGCAATTACCGGCTTTCTGAACCTCACTTTGTCGACTCCAGCAAAGAAGAAATTGTCCCGTGAGCCTCCCACCTCAGGTTGTAGCATCACCAACCCGCCAACTTGGGCCATTGCCTGAGCCAGAGAGCATATGCATAAGTCCACATGCAAATTCATCATTCATCAGATAAAACACCAGCAAAAGACAACAATAACAGTCAAATATGGGCAGATAGAAAAGGGATCAAAGAACTTAGAAACAGGGGATTAAGGGGTCAAATGAATCTATAAACAATGTTTGGCAGTTGGACCTCAACGTACAAGTTCATCATACGTCGCATTGACACAACTAATCCAAACTACAGATATATTACTATATTAGATAAGAAGACTAGATTCTCTAACAGCTTACATGCCCTTGACTTCAAATTTTCATAATCAAGTTTGTTGAGCGACTGCCTTAAAGTTATATACATCACTCTCTCGGCTAATTTTAGTTGTGTTCTGGCCTTGACCTACTAAGGACTTGAACCGAGCAGGTGGATCTTTAGACCCCCTTGACTCATTTTATGACATTGAAATATAACATCTTTATTTTTCCTTGAAAAAACAAAAAATTAAAGAAAAGCCTTCTAACGACTGTAAGAGTAGCTATAAATGCTCCAGAAAACCTCAAGTGCTAGCTCATCAAGATTCTTTGTGAGATATGAGGAAATAGGCTAATTACATGGGCGTAAAATCTTCCGAATCATAAACCAGGTATTCAGTAGATGGAATAATAAACTTTTTTCAAACAATTAATTAAATATATCATTCAACGTGTTAGATAACAACCCAATAGTAAATTTCAATACATAACACGTAATATCTATCAGAAATTCCAAATTCGAACTTATCAACTAAAAAGAAGCGACTCTAAATGTTCAATACTTCGATCTGTTTCTTAATAAAGAATGGGTCTGAAGGTGGACATGTTAATGCTCAGGCAACCAAGAAGAAACATGTTTCGAAAAGTAATGATTCCTAAGAACAAGACTTCTACTGCAAATATCAAGCTTCCTCAAGTACCAAACACTAGAATTAGAGACAGAATCCAAGAACATTACATCGACTTGCAAATGTGACATTGAGTACACTAGAACTGAAACCTTATTATACATATATGAGAAAAGGTGAAGCTCGATTTATGTACTGCTAGCAAGCAATGTATGATGTAACTTGTAAGTATCATAGCTCAACAAAAACAACTTAATTCAACTACCTCAACCATGAGCACACCAGGCATAATTGGCCTCTCAGGAAAATGACCAGGAAAAAAGTTATCGTTTATCGTCACATTCTTGATGCCAACAGCCGACACCCCGGGAGTGTATTCAATAACTCTATCCACTAGCAAAAACGGGAATCTACAACAGAAATGAGTAAAAAAATTCAATAAAAATGCAACATCTACAAATTCAAAATGAAACTGACATTCAATAGAAACAATATAAAGGTCAGAAAAACTTAATCCACCAAAATGTAGGAAATTTCACGCACCGGTGAGGCAAAATCTCCCTGATCTGGTTGATGTCCATGACTGTTGGAAATGCAGCGTACTCTGAGAAACAGACAAATCGAAAAGCACATCATGAGCAAGATGACAAATCAATTGATACATATTTCTAGCGACCGGACAAGAATTCATACTCAGTTCAATTGGGGTCTCCGCCGTGGATATGCCGTCGCCGGAGGTGGCGGAGCTGGCGATGAAACTTTTATGGGTCTTCCTCAAATGGGTCGAAAAGGAGTCAGATCTAGAGATGCTCAGAAATGGCTTGACAGAAACACAGGGATGCGTTATATTATTCGAAACCGGCAACTTTGACGTCTGAGCGGAAAACAGAGACTGCGTGAAAACACCGCACGCCATTGTAGAGTGATGGTGAGCGTGAAGATTTTGAGTGGGTTGATGAGAGTGAGCGAGCGGTGAAAGTAGAGATGCAAATGCAATAAAAGCCGAGATGGCGGCGACACAAACGAGGTTGGCGAG